CTGAATATATATATGAATATATATATATATATATATATATATATATATATATATATATATATATATATATATATATATATATATATATATATATATATATATATATATATACCACATTTTTGCCATTACTGAATTCTAAATAGAATTTAATCAATTGGAAAGTTGAAAATGAGAAAATATGTATATTAGTGAGAGTGAACAGAGAATCGTTTATATATGACTGAATACGACAGTGAGAAAAAGATTTAGGCCTTACGTACTTCTCAAAAATGGACAAATATATATATATATATATATATATATATATATATATATATATATATATATATATATATATATGTAAAGAAAGAGAGAGAAGGAAAGAAAGAGGAGGAGAGAGTTAAATTTTCCGAAACTCCCATATATACACAGACATGTGTGTGTGTGTGTGTGTGTGTGTGTGTGTGTGTGTGTGTGTGTGTGTAAATTTTATACGTATGCTGATGAATGAGAAAAAAGACAATGGAAGATGTGCGTAAACACCATTTTTCATATGAGAAGGCTTAAAGAAAGAAAGAAAGAAAGAAAGAAAGAAAGAAAGAAAGAAAGAAAGAAAGAATAACGCGAAAGAAAGGAAGAATAACGGAAAAGAAAGAAAGAAAGAAAGAAGAAAGAACACCGTGAAATAAAGAAAGAAAGAATGAAAGAAAGAAGAATAACAGAAAATAAAGAAAGAAAGAAAGAAAGAAAGAAAGAAGAAAGAAGTACGAACAACGAGAAAGAAAGAAAGAAGTTTTCTTCTTTCTTTCTTTCTCGAAGAAGAAAGAATAACGCAAAAGAAAGAAAGAAAGAAAGAAAGAAAGAATTAACTTAAACATTCAAACAAAAAGAAAGAAAAAATAACAAAAACGAAGGTAAGAAAGAAAATAGAAAGAAAAAGAGAGAAACAATAACATAGGTAGACAGAAAAAAGGAAAAAATGCAACAACGAATAGCAAATATGAACGGAAAGAAAGAAAGGGTTTTTTCTTGTTTTTCGTTCTTTTTATTCATAGAAGGAAACAAAAAAATGGAAGAAAAACAGAAAAGAAAGAATAACAATTGGATAAGAATGAAAGAAAGAAAGAAATGAAGCAACAACGAATAGAAATATGCAAAAAAGAAAAAAGAAGAAAAGTAATAAAATTGAAAGAAGAAAGAATAAGATAAATCGAAAGAAAGACGGAGACAGCGATACAACGAAAAGAAAATATGAATGAATAGAAAAAAAGAAAAAAGAAAGGGAAAAAATAGGAGGAAAAAGACAAGAAGAAAGACTACAAATGAAGTAAATAGAAAGAAAATACCAAATAGAAAATATGAATAAAAAAGAAAAGGTAAGAATGAAAATAGGAAGAAAAGGACTGAAAGAAAGAATGAAAATAGGATAAATAAAAAGAAAAAAAGAAAGCAGAACTTGAAAAATAAAATCAGAACAACTTATCACGAAGAAATGAAGAAGCAATAAAAGAAAAAATATAAAAAAAGAAATTCCTGATGCACATTTCAAAAATATGTGCAAATTTGAAAAACTTCCACTTGTGAAAATTATGAGAATATAAACGTAATAAAAGTAATATAAAAACAAAGACTGAATAGTTTTGCTCTCACAAGCTGCCGTGCCATATATTCGTGAGGCTTTATGACAGGCGCCTGCTTCTTAATTGTATCTATTTATAAAAAAAGAATCAATAAATGGAATGATAAAAATAACTGAAATCGATGAATAAAAACATAAATGAACTTTAAAGGCGAAGGTGAATCGATTGACCAGTCAATGGTGTCTCTTCTTTGAGTGTCACAATTAACAAAAGTGTGACTGCTCCTTTCAGTGAAAATGAAAACGAGGCAAAAAAATGGCGTCAAGAAAAGAAACGAATTGAGAAGGAGATGAGACCAGATTGTAGGTGATAGGGAGAAAAAAAAATGGAAAAGCGAAGTAAAAAATAATGTAAAAGGTGAGAGAGAAAGAAATTAAAGAGAAACAAGAAAGGAAAAGGAAAAGAGGACGAAAGGAAGTGAAGAAGGAAAGACAAAAAATGACGGGAGAAAAAAAGTGGATTAAAAAGAACAAGAAAGAAAGAGTAAAAAAAGAAAAGAAAAGGAGAAGTAAGAAAATGCAGGACTCAAAGGAAAGAGAGAGGGAAGAAATTAAAGTTAGAGATAAAAAGAAGAGGAAAGAAAGGAAGACGTAAAACGAGGAAAGGTAAGATAGCGGGAAAAGACGAGATAAAAAGGAAAATAAAAACGGAAATGGGGGCGGAGAATAACTTAACAAAGACAAAGAAAGTTAAAGACAAAACAGAAATCAATAAAGAAAGAAAGGAAAAAGCGAATAACGAGACGGATGGAAAAATAGTGGGGAAAAAATACGAGGAGGAAAAACAAAGAAGGAAATGAAAAATGAGAAAATAGAAAGGAAACAAGAACAAAAGAAGAAAATAGTGCAAAGTTTAGAAGAATGGTAGAAGTAAAAAAAAAATGAAGGCGGAGATAAAAAGAAAAGAGGAATAAAATGAAAGAAAGTCAAATAAGAAGCAGAAAAAAACGAAGGGATAAAAAGAAGCGTAGAAAGAGACAAAACAAAGATAAGATAGAACAAAAGGGATGATGAGAGGAATAGAAAGAAAGAAAGAAAGAAAGAAAGAAAGAAAGAAAGAAAGAAAGAAGAGAATCAATGAAAATAAAAAGAGACGAAAGAAAGAAACTGAAAAAAACCGGAAGTGACAAGAAAAGCAAAGACAGGAAAGGAAGTAAAAGCCTAGTAATAACATAAAAAATGTGAAACCAAAAAGAAAGCGAAAAAAAAGAAAGAAAGAAAGAAAGAAATTGCCAGGCTTAGAAAAAAAGGAAGAAATTAAAGGCAGCTATAAAAAAAATGATCAGTAAAAAAAAAACAAAAGTAAGTCGAAGACAGAAACACAAAAAATGAAGAGAGAAAAAAAGAAAGAAAAAATAAAACGAAAAAAAAAACAAAGACAAGAAGAGAGGAAAGTAAAAAAAAAGGACACAAGAAATAGAGAAATGAAAAGAAACAAACAAATAAAAGAATCAATGAAGGCAGAGACGAAAGAAATAAACTGAAGAAAAAAAACCATAAATGAAAAAAATTCACCCTAAGCAGGGTGATAATGCCACTAAGACGCAAAAACTTACAAGGAATGAAAGAGAATGAGAAGACATTAGTGGGGAGAAAGGACAATAAAAGAATAGGTTTCAGGAAAACAGAAGATGGCGATAATGCCACTAAGACGCAAAGAGTTACAAGGAATGAAAGAGAATGAGAAGACATTAGTGAGGAGAAAGGACAATAAAAAAACAGGTTTCAGGAAGACATAAGATGGCGAAAATGCCACTAAGACGCAAGGGGTTACTGGGAATGAAAGAGAATTAGAAGACTTTAGTGAGGAGAAAGGACAATAAAAGAACAGGTTTCAGGAAAACAGAAGATGGCGATAATGCCACTAAGACTCAAGGGGTTACAAGGAGTGAGAATGGGAAGACATTAGTGAGGAGAAAGGACAATAAAAGAACAGGTTTCAGAAAGACAGAAGATGGCGATAATGCCATTAAGATTCAAGGGGTTACAAGGAGTGAAAGAGAATGGGAAGACTTTAATGAGGAGAAAGGACAATAAAAGAACATGTTTCAGGAAAATAGAAGATGGCGATAATGCCACTAAGATGGAAGGGTTTACCAGGAGTTGAAGAGAATGTGTAGACTTTAGTTAGGAGAAAGGACAATAAAAGAACAGGTTTCAGAAAGATATAAGTTGGCGATTGACGATGCATTTAATTTTTTGCTTGCAGATGCCAGGAAAACAAGAAACTCGAAGAGATTTCCACAGGCGAGAAGTGTGAGAAAAGAAACAGTTAGAATAGAACTTACTCTTCTATCTTGCTAGTTCAACAGTAAAACGAGGGGACCTAATTGCCAATCTAGTAATACGCTTGAAGACATGCAGTAGTGGTACGAACGAGAATGATAAACATGTGATTATGTAATCTAATGTATTGGTGCTGCAGAGAAGGGTTCCAAGAACATCGAGAAGCGAATGATAACTCAAGAATTGGCTCACGAGCAACGCTTAGAACCTTTGCAAATATTTATTTGTATCTACTAAAAGGCTTAAGAAATAAATTTTTGATGAAAATATCTGAATTCAGTCCTCCTATCAGTTTAAACCCGTTCAATTCTCCTGTGTTTGGAGTTCGCTAGTTACTATCTAAGAAAACCATTTAAAGAATAGGAAATCCACATTATTCATCAGACACATATTTTTTTAGCTGTTTCCAAAATCGAAAAATGCCCTGAAACGACCCAAAGATGTTCTGACTACCATGACATGCCGCAATACGTGACAATATTACTGATGTTTGCAGTAACTGCCCCCCCCCATCGTTTCACATGAACTGCGACGACCAAGGAAGCAAAAGGAAGCAAAAGGATATTAAATTGTCACACCTCATAAAAGATGAGTGACAAACGAGGCAAAACATTTATGTCTTTTTGATAAATAAAGAGAAAAACAGTTATGAATTAAGCATTCGTGTGCGTTTGGGTACAAGTGCAATGCATTTGTGTTTCTGGCTGTTGGTTTAAAAAAAGGGAGGGGGCAGGTCAGGACGGGAGGGTGAAGATAGTGGTAAGACTGAATTACGAAAACTAAAAGTAACAATGTAACTGTTCGTTTTAGGGAAAGGAGGGGAAAAAAAGAAGATTAAAGGGGGCTATAAGAAAGAAAGAAAGAAAGAAAGAAAGAAAAAGAAAGAAAGTGAATTAATGGAGAAGGTCATGTACTGAAGAAAGAAAGAAAGAAAGAAAGAAAGAAAGAAAGAAAGAAAGAAAGAAAGAAAGAAAGAAAGAAACAGAAAAATAAAGAAGCGGAAAAAACAGAAAAAAGAAAAAAGTTTATGTCAAAGAAAATTAAAGAAAGAGAGGGAAAGTGGGAGTGAAAGATTATAAAAATGAGAGAAAGAAAATTAGACGGCTGTAAGAAAGAAAGAAAGAAAGAAAGAAAGAAAGAAAGAAAGAAAGAAAGAAAGAAAGAAAGAAGAAAGAAAGAAAAAATTGAAAGAAAAAGAAAGAAATTGAAAGAAAGAAAAAGAAAGAAAAAACGGAAAAGAAAGAAAGAAGCAAGAAAGAACGAACGAAAATAGAAGATAGAAGGAAAAATAGAAGAAAGAACGAAGAAAAAAGACAGAAAGAAAGAAAGGAAGAAAAAAAGAACGGACAAAAAAGAAAGAAATAAACAAACAAATAGAGAAAAAAAAAAAAACAAAGAAAAAACAGAGAAAGAAAAAGTTTATGACAAAGAAAATTAAAGAAAGAGAGTGAAAGTAAGAGTGAAAGAAAATGAGGGGAGGACAATTAAAGACGGTTGTAAGAAAGGAACAAAAAGAAAGAAAGAAAGAAAGAAAGAAAGAAAGAAAGAAAGAAAGAAAATACGAGATTTCGAACGCTTATTTTCAAAGCAGTCCAGCTTTCCTAACTGAAAAGATTAGCAAAGAACAATATTCCTGACTGATATTTCCTTGCATGTGTTTCTATACAGCGCTAATCTAATCTTAACAATAACCAAAATAGCAAGGTTCCTTAATGTAGGCTAATCATTAGCGAGTCAGGGTCTAGCTGACCGTTACTACTGAATATTGATTTTGATCCTCACTGAGTGCTCTATACAAAATTCGACAACAAATAACAAAATAGATATGTCGCTAAGATAAAAGATGAAAGATGTGTTTACATGATCATCAGTACCATGATCGGTGTAGGTCGTAGGGTTACTGCGCGGCTAAGCACCTGCCCACTTCTTTTCACTTACTTTGACTGAAAGCCAAACAGCTATCCATTTATGCGTAGCATGTCCTGGCTAAGAAGACCTGACGGAGCCCATCCCTCTCCAGGTCAGTCCACAGCCGATGTCCTTTGAAGGCTCGCCTCGGTCACAGAAATGTTGATTCCATCTGTGGAAACTCTCCGACGCGGTTTTTGACTTCAGTTTTGAAACCACCCCCACCCCCGTCCAGTGATGCCGTGCCATTGCCTGTATCCATAGCTATAGAACCCAGTCAGGTCCGTTCTGTTACAAAGCTGTTAATGCTACAAGAAGGTTCGTCATATCGTTGATGGGTCTTATTTTTTAATTCTGCTGGGGTTCTAGCCCCCCCTCCTCATAAGAAAAGCCTGGTGGGAGCACCGGTTTAGTCCGCTGATGACCCGACCATCCAGATAGTACAAGGAAAACATAGTATCAGTAACTCTCATAGAATGACCTGACATAAAAGATGCACGCTTAAAAGGAACAGAAATATGTGAAAATATTGAAAAAAACGATAGAGATTTTGTAATTGATAAAGTACTACTTACTAATTTTCCCCCAACACAAAGCCATGGGAGCCACTCAAGTTAGATATTTACAGTTGAAATGATAATTAGGAATGCGATGTAATATACGAAGTGAACAGAACGTGGTAGGAAATGAACATTATAAGGATAAAATGGGGAGAGATAACAATTGACCCTTGAGTTAAAGACGTTAAGATTAAATTGTTCACAGAAGTACCCATACGGGATTCTCTTGCACAAAGTGGCGGTTTTCGTATCTTCTTTCTTACATTTGGAACACGGGGGAAATAAAGATGATTCAATTCCACGGACGTCGCTTGATGTGTCCCATATTAAAAAAAAAAAAAAAAGGATATAGAGAACGGCTTTTTTTTTTAGTTTAATATATAATTAGCATAATATATAATTAGTTTAATAATTTATTATAATTTTCAATTATTATTTCATTTATTGTATATATTATGGATATTATATCTATTTGAAGTTATATATCTGTTGTTTATCATTACTTCTTTCAACTCTTTCCACAGTTGTCTGAAAATTGTCAGTGTTGATAGCCGACCGCCATCTCGGCCCCACTCCGGGTTTTTCTGTCTGGATTTACTTCCATTTTCCGTGTTTTAGATATGACCTTCTCCTAGATGAAATGTCCAGGGGAAGGAAAATATTATCATTATTATTATTATTATTATTATTATTATTATTATTATTATTAAACAATGATGACGTAACTCTGCCATTATTTTTCAACAGTTAAGAAAAGCGTGCGATTTAAAAAAGATATCGAATAGAAAAAACACAAAGTGTTTAACAATGTTAAACAATAGAATGTCTGTCTTCTTCAATGTATATTTAAACCAATTTTCTTTTCAAGTGTAATAATAATAATAATAATAATAATAATGATAATGATAATAATGATAATAATAATGATAGTGATAATAATAATGATAATGATAATAATGACCATAATAATAATAATAAATAATAATAATGATAATAATAATAATGATAATGATAATAATATTAATGATAATGATAATAATAATAATGATAATAATAATGATGATAATAATGATAATGATAATAATGACCATAATAATAATAAATAACAATAATAATGATAATAATAATAATAATGATGATAATGATAATAATTATAATGATAATGATAATAATAATAATGTTAATGATAATAATGTTATTAATAATGATAATGATAATAATGATAACAATAATACTGACTGCAATGTATCTTTGAAGATATTCAAAAAGCTGTCAAAATACAAGGGCCTTGAAATAGAAATCTCGAAAATGTTGCATATGGGAACATCAAAAATCCCTGTTGTAGTTGGAGCCCTAGGACTGGTTGGAAAAGATTGCAGTAGACTAATTGAAGGGATTCCTGGAAGCCCATGCCTCAAGGAGATACAAAAAATTGTTCTGACAAGTACAGCCCACACCTTACGAAGGGCTTTATCTATGTAATTTAATTTTTTTTTTTTTTTGTCAGTGGAAAGTGTCATGACGCCATTTCTAACCTTAGGTCTCTGGTTGTGACCTGGAAAGAAATGTGTAAACGCCAGAAATCACAGAAAATAATAATAATAATAATAATAATAATAATAATAATAATAATTCACGCAAACTCTTCTATTTGCTCGCTTGAAAATATGTTTTCTCATTTAATGGTATTTATTAAGATTTTGAGCCCTGACCACCGCTTTACCGGTGGTAGAGAAAAATGACGTAATGCCCATCCACCGGTTGAACGGTGGTAGAGAAAAATGACGTATGCCCATCCACCGGTTGAACGGTGGTAGAGAAAAATGACGTAATGCCCAGTTTTTGGTTGAATAGTAGTAGAGAAAAATGATGTAATGTCCAGCCATCTGTTAAACTGTAGGTAAACACTTTTAACTATTTTTATATCTACCGTTAAACATACCAATTATTTGTGTATTTTGACTCGGGAGCTCAGGCAGAAGATTTAAAATTGTTTAGGAATGTAGAGCTCAAAGGATTACGTGCAAATTGAACTTGAAGAGAGATGACGCATTTGTTAACGAATTAACTAAAAAGAAACGTAAATATAATAAAATAATATAATAATTTAATATAATTCGCAATTATTATTTCTTTAATTATATATATTATGATTATTATATTTATTTGAGCTTAAAATTATATATGTATTGTTTATTATTATTTCTTTCAACTTTTACCACAGCTACTGAATTTTTCTGTATTCGCATTTATTTGTTTTCGTACAACACTCCAGATCTACAAATCAACCATTCGCCTTTGCATGGAGTATTGCTGCCATATATGGTCTGGAGCCCCTTCTGTTTACCTCGGGGTTCTTGATAGGCTCCAGAGGCGGATATGCAATATAATTGGCCCTGATCTGGCATCTCGTCTGCAGTCGCTCTTTCACAGACGTGCCGTCGCCTCTCTCTGTCTTTTTTACAAATACTTTCATGGCAATTGCTCCGAGGAGCTGCATTCGCTGGTTCCCAGACGTCATGAGTTCAAGCGCCCTACGAGGCTGGCATCCCGCTCTCACCCTTTCACTGTCGAAACTATTGAATGTATCCGTCTCTTCTACTCCAATAGCTTCATGTCTCGCACCTCTCACCTGTGGAACTCCCTTCCCTATTCCAGTTTCCTTGAGAGCTATAATCTCCAGCTATTCAAATGTAATGTCAATCGACATCTCCAGTTGCCTTGATCTATCCACTACCCTTCTCCTCATCCTTTCTTCTATCTGCTCTCTCCAAATCCTCTGTAACCCCTTGCGTCCTGGTGGCTTCCCGCCTTGCTTGGGGTGAAACGCTTAAAAAAATACAAAAAAGAACAACAAACCTGAAGATCATTTCTTTTAATTTTACTTTCTGTTTTTGCTTGAAGTTACATCAACTTTGCATTTTCTACTTTCGTTCATTTTTTTATCAATTGATAGTTTAGGTGTTAGTACTTTCAAAAAGGTAGTATAAATTATTTTATTCTATGTTAAATAATGATTTCATAATCTCCGAATATTTTAGGTTTAAATCCCGACTTATATTTTCATTTTTTGTTTCTACCATCTTTTTTTTCTAAAATTAACAACATTTTCGATATTTGTGTTTGTTTATTTATGTAAATTTGGTAATTTATCGTTACCATCGGAACTAAAATCTTCGAAGGGAGATGATAAGAGAGAAAGGCACGACAAAATCGACCTCCTTCTCCACCAACATTAGCATGCAGTCAATGCCATCGGCTCTTCCATGCAAGAATTGGTCTGCTTAGTCATCAACGCCATCATTACAAAGGAATCGATCAGAAAAGAAGAAATTAAATTCTTGGATACGAGATAAAGCTGACGACGATTTTGTCATTTTTTTTCTAGTGTTTTTACTTACCTAACGTTTTATATATTAAAAAAAAAAAAATGTTAATTTTTTTGGAGCTTCTAAAACACATAACGTTATATAATATTTATACACGTACATTAAATATGTTCCATAGCTGAGGTGTTAGTGGGGGCAAACTTCTATTGTTTATAAAATGCTTCCGTGGCATGCGTTTCAAGTTCAGTTCCAAGCCGGAGAATGCTCAAATGCGGAAAATTGGCGCCTCATGACCAGCCGCTTCTGGTAAATGGGGCTAAACAGCCCATTAAGACTATCCATGTGGGGGACGAAAAAACCGATTTTAAACATCCTCTACCTTGCTGTCATATCCAAACAAACACGGGAATTGCTATGGAATTAAGTCAACACTGACAACACTCTGGCAACTTCCTCAGCCAAGCCGTCCCCAAATGTAACGCCCTGGATTCCTTTGGATCTTGTCAGTATGGGCGCAAAGGTCGAGGAGGGAGCATGTAGTTTGAGCAACGTACGGCTTTCATATACCATCGCCCAGGCCTTCATCCTGGAGAATTCACTTCAGTTTCCACGACTAAGGACTGAAAAGATTTGTAAATTTTAAAGCCTCCAAAATAAAACTGCTTTCATTTAATAACCACAGAGAATCTTTTCTGTCTGCCATCTGAATGGCTGATGCTAACCCCCAGAAAAGCAACTCTTTGAGCATTCTTGATTTCATATTTTCCACGGACATGAAATTGAGAGACTATATTGAATCAATGTTGGTTTGTTATGTCGTGCCAAACAATTATTCCTGTTAAAATCCATCTTGCACATGTATAGATTTACTATGAAATTAAGTCTGATAGGTCTGACAAATGAAAATTTGTAATGGCTCTCGAAAATGATCTCCAATCACTTGTTAATTGAGGCAAGAAATAGCTTGTAAATTTTAACGCTTCCAAAACGAAACCGCCATCTTTTAATTGCCATAGAGAACCATTTTCCCTTCCATCTTTATGGCTATTGTTAAACTCCAAGAGAGTTACACATTACGCCATCTTGGTCACTGGCATGAATTGAATCAATTGCTAGATCCGCTGATAGGAAAGTTGGTTCACTCTATCGTACCAGACAATTGTTCTAGTCAGAATTCATCTTACACATTTATAAATCTACCTTTCGTTCATGAATTGAATATTCCTGCTATATATGGTATTGTTATGCGGCTATATATCACAAGATTCTCAACAACCTCCAAAAAAGGGTCTGTTATCTTATTGGTCCGGACCTGGCATCTCGACATCAGTTACAATCCATTCATCGTAACATGGCATACCTCTGTCTTTTCTCGGAATATATTCTTCTGATGATCTCTCCTCAATCTAGTACTATGCTAAAATTCAGGCAGCCGAGGTTTGGTCTCCCGATAACCTGAATTTCAGCGTGCTACTAGATTGACAATTAGGTCTCATCATGTATTACTGTTGAATATATGTAAGCGTAAATTCATTCTCTTTTTTTTTTACTCCTGGGGAACTCACTTGCATTTTTTGCCTTCCTGGCAGCAGCAATAATCGCAAATTTTAAATGCAATGACAATCGCCATCTTCTGTCTTCCTGAAACCAGTTCTTTCCTTGGCCTTTCTCCTTACTAAAGTCTTCTCATTCCCTTTCACTCCCAGTAACCCCTTGCGTCTTAGTGGCATTTTCGCCATCTTCTGTCTTCCTGAAAGCTGTTCTTTTATTGTCCTTTCTCCTCACTAAAGTCTTCTCATTCTCTTTCATTCCCAGTAACCCCTTGCGTCTTAGTGGCATTATCGCCATCTTCTGTCTTCCTGAAACGTGTTCTCTATTGTCCTTTCTCCTCCCTTGAGTCTTAGTGACTTTATCGACTTGCTTTAGATTAAATCAATGAAAAAACACGATAAACAAATAAAAATAAGAAAGTGGCGGAATGTTATTATTATTATTATTAATTTTGACTTAGTTTATCGTTGAACTTATTACTGTTGCTGTTTTACCGAAATATTCAGAGGTTTTTTTTATTATCAGGAAGATAAGCAATTCTTGCGAGTGCCTATGGCACTGACAATACCTTACCGATTAGGCCATGCATATCAAGAGGCAGTAGGATTTCAGATTTATTAATATCACTCTGCTTATTTTACGGGTCGTAGATTAGGATCTTTCCTGTTAATACACCTCAGATAATGTAAAGTTAACTATCGAAAATATTAATTCTCTGCAAGAAATTATAAATTTTGAATCAAAGTTTGTATTTTTTATACTTTTCTGAAATTATAATTTTGAAATCAAAATTTGCTTCGCCACAAATGCAACCTTCAGAATTAAAAATTACCAAAAATTAGGGAGTTATTTATATCCAAATGATATACGAGATACAAGAAGTTTTTTACAATTTAAAAAAAAATGTCCGTTTTGGGCTTGTTTATCGAGGTGAGCGCGTACGCAGACCCCACACATAGAATAGCGCACCCGATTCGCCCACATTTAGGGTGATTACAAAGGCCAACTCAACAGGAGTGCATTAGAAGGGCCTCCTTCTGGGAGAATTTAGTGTTGATTTTAGAAAATATAAATTCTTTTTATTTTGAGGTGAATTAATATTTTGGATTAGGGTGAATTAGCAGAAACTATCCATAGATCATAACAAGCTGAACAATATGTCAAAATAGTTACAAGAATAAAGAAAAAATATTCCTAAGACTATTATTTTGGATTTTGTGAATGATGAAAGACTCGTTTAAATGACTAAAACAGAGAATATATTTACGCATATCAATAAACGGAGAATGTATCTGCGTACACGGGTTTATGTAATAATATATATGTATGTTTGTGTTGCCTTTGGCTAAAAAGGACGTCTCATGAAATCTAAAAGCCTTGTAGGGCATTGGATACGATTCAAAGATATAATACTTTGATGTCGCCACTTCTTTTTTTTTAATGGTTCTTGTTCTAAGACGTCATCGTTTGATAATATCGTGTAGTCTCGTGAAGATATCTTGCCACAGAAAGATTCAGACCTGACTCTATGCCGTCATTAACCTCTTCAGGAAGAAAATGTCAACAGCACAATCGACCCAATTTCAAGAATGACTCAAACCACAAAAGAGTCGACAGCAAAGGCGAGGTCCATCTGCAACAACGACTGCTTTCCATAAAATCTTGTTAGTTGCCCGGATTTGTTGTGTACGTTTGTAGAATGTCTCGGCCATTATCAACTGTCTGTTCAGAATGAATTCCATTAAACTGACGGTGGTACAAAGGTGTTCGAATTTTGCTGCCGGTACCAAAGCTTTAATTCAAAGAAAGGCGTTATGTAATTTTCAATCTTTCTAACCAATCAGGCAAAAAATTAATCATCGAATAAATAATTAAAAAATAAATAAGAGAATAAAAATTATAAGCAGGTGTGGCGTAAATTATTAGAGCATATTGATCAATATCATTTTACAAGTTAATTATTTGAAAGCAATTATATTGAAATTATTTCATTTACAGGAAAATCAGTCAGTTAAATGCCATACATGATACGCGCTTGGCCGAACATGTCTCTTTCGTTTCATGGCTGACAAGGCAAAAGATTTTACCGTAGTAGGCAGCTATTTCTGTCTGCAGTAGTGTTATGGTCCGGTTCCTTGTACCACGGTGATAGTCCGAGGTAGAACCAATAAAGAAGAACTCGAATACGGATATGGAATAACACAGATATATTTCAAACAGGAATATATACAGAGAGGTAGAAAGTGTTAGTACGAACAATCAGGTTTAGTAGTAATTGTCTGAACGCGACTCTGTTTCGGACTGCCTCTGGCTCGACTGACTGACTCTCTCGCTCTGACTGACTGACTGACTTCTGACGGACTTCACTCCAGACTTCAGACTGAACGGTATTTAGTCACCCCCACACGAAGGCATCACGTGGCACAAGGCCGGTTTAACGTGGGATCTCCGAGCCCGTGGAATCTCCGAGCCCGTGGGCTAGGCCAAAATTATGCCCTTTGAACCCGTATAAACGGGTTCAGGGTCGGTTTACCTCCCCGAAAGACACTCCGCCCTTCGGCGTAGCCTCGTTCGGGTTCCTACCCGCCCGAAAGCAGAGAGCCGATCAGCCGGTCGCCCGACTTCGGACTGAACTCTCTGCTTCCCCTTGAGGCGCAGTATTTATTACGTATGGAATATTCCATTATGTTATTATGGGTAAGGTCCCATAACAAGTAGACTGGCTGCCAATCAAGGCAATAGGACCCAGTCTATCCTGCTATTCAACCATGATAACAACAGTCAGTCATTTAAGTGCCATACGTGATACATGATTGGGCGATCATGTCTCTTTCAAGTCATGACTCACTAGGCAAAAGATTTTCCCGCAGTAGGTTGCAGCTTCTTTCAGCGGTAGACTGGCTGCCAATCAAGGCAATAGGACCCAGTCTATCCTGCTATTCAACCATGATAGCAACAGTCTGTCAGTTAAATGACATACGTCATACACGCTTGGGCGATCATGTCTCTTTCAATTCATGACTCACTAGGCAGATTTTCCTGCTTTAGATTGCCATTTCTTTCTGCAATAGACTGGTTACAAATCAAGGCTATAGGACCAAGTCTTCCCTGCTATTCTACCATGATAACAACAGCCAGTCAGTTAAGTGCCATACGTGATACACACACGTGGACTGGGGGAGATGGTAGAAGGTCCAAACTTATGGGGAACTACAAGGTATAGGGGGAAGTGGAGAGACATGATCGCCTACGTCCTGACATGACGTGGCATATATAAGAAAAGATCATCTTTGTGGCTCGCATAGCTGAAAATAAGCTGAACCAATCTTTACCTGTTTCTGTAAAAGTGGAACGCGTCTCTTTTCCGTGGATTAATGAATAAATGTAGGGTTAATAAAAATAGTAGAATATTTTTTTTATAATCCTGTGATATCGAATGGAAACAAACTTATAGAATTATTAGGTTTTCCTTTTCAAAATTTATGGAAGCAATTTCGGAAACTGAAAATGCAAAGGAAAATCTGAGAAAGAATTTGTTTTTGGGAGCGAGACACTTTGTACAAAAGAAGTATTTCGACACATAATGCTGGGAAAAAAGAGCAGGATTAAAAATAGACTAAGATTCTCTTTTTAAGACATGACCACTCCCAGAAGTCGATAATAAAAAAAAAAGTGCGTCCTAAATTTTTACAAAGATCAAATGTTAAAGGGAAAAAGAAATAGTTGTTTAACTATTTCTTTTTATTTATTTCAAAAGCTTTCTTTCACAATCTCCCTCTGTATCTCTCTCTTTCTGTACGTATTCAGCTAGAAAGAGAGATGAACAGACTGAGATAGATAGATAGATAGATAGATAGATAGATAGATAGATAGATAGATAGATATGAGCAGCATGAGATAGATAGATATGAGCAGACTGAGATAGATAGATAGATCGATATGAGGAGACTGAGATAGATAGATAGATAGATAGATAGATAGATAGATATGAGCAGACTGAGATAGATAGATAGATAGATAGATAGATAGATAGATAGATAGATAGATATGAGGAGACTGAGATAGATAGATAGATAGATAGATAGATAGATAGATAGATAGATAGATAGATATGAGCAGACTGAGATAGATATGAGCAAACTTAGATAGATAGATAGATAGATAGATAGATAGATATGAGCAGACTCAGATAGATAGATAGATAGATAGATAGATAGATAGATAGATAGATAATGAGCAGACTGAGATAGATAGATAGATAGATAGATAGATAGATAGATAGATAGATAGATAGATAGATCGATCGATCTTTGTTCCAAAAATACAGAATCTTATGCGCACACACACATACACACACACACACACACACACTAAAAGAAGATGCATGCACTAATACGCACAGGCGTACACACATACGCACTCATAGTTCACATACAAAAAGGTGTACATATGCACATGCAAACATGTAGAGGCACATATGAACGCTGACGCATACACGTGCACAGATGTACACCGACAGGCAGAGGCACCCATAAAATCGCGCTCGCGTACATACACGCGTACACGTCTATGCAGAAGCTTACATGCACAAATGTAGACGCCGACGCACACATATGCAGCCTTGGTGGATGCACAGTCAGAGATACAAAAAGGCACACAAACTTGCGTAAACGAAGGATTGCTCCCTAAATATACAACTATATATGTATGTATGTGTGTGTGTGTGTGTGTGTGTGTGTGTGTGTGTGTGTGTGTGTGTGTGTGTGTGTGTAAAGAGTGTTCCAATAAATTGGAACGATTTTAAATTAAGTTTAAGCGTCTATTTTTTTTCTTTTTCTTTCAGATTTAACAACTTAAGTCTTTGGCAATTTCAACCATGGAAAGATTAACAATCAAACAACATGTTGAAGTTATTGAAGCCTATTTTGAAAATGGACATTCAAACAGAATTTGAATGAGAAATTCCCAGGTCACATCATCTCTCAAAACAGTGTAGTCAATTGGCGCCTTTAGATTTCTTTCTTTGGGGTCATCTCAAAAGTAAGGTCTATGCCAACAATCCAAACAGTTCAATAGACGAAGGATGAGATAATAAGGCATATTGAGGAGCAACTATGCAGAGACGTCATCAAAAATTTTGACCATCGAGTGGAGGTGTGCCGCCGAAGCCTTAGCGGACATTTAGGCGATATTATTTTTCACACATAATTGTCATAACTTAAATAACATGATCTAATAGAGAAATAAAAAAAATTCACTAACACTGACTTATTTACTAGTGACTTTGATCCGTCTTAATGAAACACCCTTTATACATGGTAATTGAATAGTAATTCACTATTTTATGTATGAGTGGCAAGCCAGGAATCTCGATTTCACATCTTGTGACATTTTTCTTTGGGGTTGGTTAAAAAACAAGTCTACTATACTATTGCGACAGAGAAACACCAAAGGAGCTATTCAAAGATAGCCTGAAAAAAAATCCTTTAGTGCCTGTCATATAGACCATTGCCAATGGTCCACATTATCTGAGAACCGTGACGCTTGGCGTCTCACCGCCAACCATGCTGTCTCCTCTTGAAAATGCACGCAGGGTCGCTCTCATGGATGAGAGGCAACAGAGGAAGTATTGCAACTCTATAGCATCGAGAGCTGGCTGGACTTTCAGCTGTAACTGCTGTGACCGTGTATGCCTGTCCAGCATTGGCCTTATCAACCACAAACTTGGAATCGGCGTGAACATACGCCTTCTTGTCTTCGTTTTGCGTAACCAAATCATGATGGTATTAGGGAAAAGAAATACGACAATGTGTAAAGGCTTTCGGGTGACACGTATCGATCTTTGAGACTTCATCGGAGTAAATCTATGCTTACCTTGATGCGATTGAACGTGTTATTTGATGAAGTCCTAAAGGACAAAACGCGTCACACGAACATTTTTTCCAATTTCTCATAGTTCTTTACCCGAAAATTGTTCTTGATATATAAAAATGTATATATATATATATATATATATATATATATATATATATACTAGCAGTAGAGCCCGGCGTTCCCGGGGATGTAACAGTAAGAGATAGATCAAGTATCGACCATCATAAAGACTGAAAAATAAAATTGACAAAGATTATTGTTTAAGGTTGACGGACACGCATGTCTGAATTAGTTTGTTTTTTTTTGGGGGGGGGTTACGAATTGGTCAAACCCAAACTCAAACAAAAACATTGTTTTCAATAAAGACAATTGTTTATAATAAAATTCTATTCAATCGGTAGATTGAATAGAATTTTATTATAAACGATTGTCTTGTAAATGGAATTTTTAAAGCATTCTGAATGTAAAAATAAAGAAAAAAGTGTGCAAGACAATAAGAAACACTACCTGCCAAAAAAAAGTGAAGTTTTGTTGAAATCGGTTGAAAAATGTAGGAAATCCGATCCCATATATAGACGAACACACACACGCACAAACAACCTGGGTTTTATAAGTATAACACGATATGAGTTGTCCCCCTTTCATTCTGGCGACAGAGTCGTGTTTTATCGTGTTTTCAAATTGATTTCGTGCAAAAACAATTGTGTTTTTTCCAATTTTTGGTGCAGTCAGAACCACTGCAAGGTAATTTTTTGCAGTCCTATTAAGTTTTGTTGAAATCGGTTGAAAAATGTAGGAAATCCGATCCAATATATAAACGTACAGACACACATACACAATCTGCGTTTTATAATAATAAGTAAGATATATATATATATATATATATATATATATATATATATATATATATATATATATATATATTTGCTGTCCTCACAAAATGTACTCAGTGCTTGACTTAATCATCAGTTTGAATATGTATAAACATGCTTTTAATTTCATTTAATATTTAATTTTGAGCATTAGTCTTGTTTGCAAGTCAATAACGATTTGCATTTCTTTCCTGTCCGAGATTGTGCATAAGATGGCCGAAGTGCATTCTTGTATTATTGTCTGTTCAAGTAATTTTAACGGTGTCAGTCAATTTTCAAGAAATATGTGTTGTCTGTATGGTACGCATACTTTTTTCGTCTACATCCTGGTATTTTGGGGAAAGATGAAATTTGAAATTGTTTAAGGTGACCGTTACTAAGAGCGAGGCTGCACCCAAAAGTATATATATATATATATATATATATATATATATATGTGTGTGTGTGTGTGTGTGCGTGTGCGTGTGTGTGTGTGTGCGCGCGTATGAATAAAGAAAAAATTTTAATTTTAACCATTAATCCAGTTTGCAAGTCAATAAACAGTGGATTTGTTGTCATTTAAAGAGTGAGTTCATTTTTGGGAATACCATTTACATAAAATGCATTCTTTTTCATTCTACAGCAATTATATTCCCTTTTCTTATTCAGACGAACATTGACGTTTCAATTTGATAATAGCAGACGGATATTTGAAAACGTTACAAACGTTCAGTGTGAGTCAAATTCATTATGAAGCAAAAGAGTCCCAGGAGAAAGTTTTATACAATTAGGAAGGTTAATTTGCTGAACTTGTATTTTGAAATTTCCTAATTAAACATTGTTCGGGGAGCTTTTACGATAACGACGTATTCAAATAGCATTTCCCTGGCCGTCATCTTGAAATTGGGTTTCATATAATTCATCTATTTCGTCTAAAATAATTACCAAATTTTGAAGATGGAAATTTATTGGAATAGATAGGTTAGTCTGTCGTACGGTTTACACTCCTCGCTGGCTTTTTGAAGTAGAGGTTTAACCTTTGTTTCCTGAGAAAAAATTGTTGATAATTCAAGAGAAAAAAAATTGCTTAGAAAAAAGCTTGAATAATGATCAGAATACAAGCCAACAAACTGTGAAATTGATTTGAATAAATAATTGTGTAATCATGTAACAGTTGTAAAAGTCCAGATACTTGTGTCATTGCGGAAAACGTGAGACCAACAAGGTGCAATGAGTTTCTTGCTCAGAGGTTAACATCAACCGTGTTTAAGGAGGGAGAAATGATTCTTTATGGTGAATAAAAGATAGCAGTCTTTTTTTTTTATGGAAGTCAGTTCTATGCTTTTAGAGACCATGTTTCCTCTAGAGCTTCCTTTCTATTTTTATTGCTCTACGCAATACTGTCCATTTATTGCAACGGTTTCCAACCAGCGTGGAGAATTTGGTACCGGGTACTGGACCATTTGGTACCGGTCCTCGAATCATTTGGTACCGGTCCTCGGATCATTTGGTACCGGGCGGTAGACCATTTGGTACCGGGCTGTGAACCATTCGGTAACAGGCCGTGGAGCATTTGGTACCGGGTACAGGATCATTTGGTACCGGTCCTTGGATCATTTGGTACAGGGCTGTGAACCATTTGGTACCGGGCTGTGAACCATTCGGTACCGGGCCGTGGAGCATTTGGTAACGGGTACTGGACCATTTGGTACCGGTCCTTGGATCATTTGGTACCGGGCCGTGGACCATTTGGTACCGGGCCATAGACCATTTGGTACCGGGCCGTAGACCATTTGGTACCAGGTCAGGGACCATTTGGTACCGGGTACTGGACCATTTGGTACCGGTCCTTGGTTCATTTGGTACCGGACCGTGGACCATTTGGTACCGGGCCGTAGACCACTTGGTACCGGGCTGTAGACTATTTGGTACCGGGTCGTGGACCATTTGGTACCGGGAAGCACAGGAAGAATAACAATATTTCCCCCTATTGCGGTCTTGTTTATTGGTTTTGTTATGTGTGAAAAAATTGTTTTGCATTAAACCGGTCCGTGGACCCAAAAATCTGTAGACCGCTTTTTATGGGACTTAATTTTGTATTTTACTTCGTTCATTTGTAGAAACATATGAAGTGGGTAAGGCGCTTCCTCCTTTCTCTTCACTTGCATTCAATGTGTTTGGCGATCGACTGATTGTTCCAACATTTCTTTTGACATTATATATATATATATATATATCCTATTATATATCCTAAGATATTGACATTATATATAATGAGACCTAATTGAACTATGGCCAGAGAGCTGTAACGTAAGTCTTCTTGTTAAACATGTTGTAGAATACCCAATATAATATCCTATTATATATCCTAAGAATTGCATTTAACCTTTCCAAATAAATCCACGAGCATCGCTTATATTCAGATATACATTGAATAAAGAGATCAATGAAGAAACAATATAAAACGTATTCAGCGTAAGTAAACGCATATGTACCTGTGACTAGATAGATAGATAGATAGATAGATAGATATGTATATAGATAGATAGATAGATAGATAGATAGATAATAATAAAGACTGAGATAGATAGATAGATAGATAGATAGATAGATAGATAGATAGATAGATATATATATATATATATAGATAGATAGATAGATAGATAATGAACAGACTGAGATAGATAGATAGATAGATAATGAACAAACTGAGATGAGATGAGATAGATAGATAGATAGATAGATAGATAGATAGATAGATAGATAGATAGAAACTGCTTTGTTTTAGTGGATTATTTATCTTTGCCAAAAGTCTCACATAGCAAATTCCTGGATAAACTCAACGCCACAGCAAAACTGCTGGCGACAAAGACGTCACACTTTCCACTGATCACTCTATTATTTAATTGCCTTATCAGTTTTCTAAGTGCATCAATGAAAATATAATATCGATAGGCGAAAGTGCCAAATTAGAATATGAAATAAACAAATAAATTTGCGTCACTCACAATTTTGCTCACACGCTCACAACTGGAGAGGATTTCATTCATCGCGACCCAAATGTTCACACATGTGTCTGCGCATGCGCGCAACAGTGTCTAAGTTCAGCAGATAAATGCTGGATTAACGACAAATATTTTTCATAGACACACAATCTTTCGTCGTGGATAATTCACTAGACAACATTGCACGCGCAAATTGAACGTTGACAAGGATGAAATCAGGTGTAACAGCTTTTGTATGTTTTAGCTCATTCACCCACTCTTTTTAACTACCATGATTCAACATCATCACTTGATAAGACACCAGAAGTGTTAAAACAAAATGGCTATTTTTGTAGTGATTTTATATATTTATCTTATAATTTTTGAATAAACAATTATATTTACTCTACTCTGGATTGAGCACTCTTTTAAGAATAGTATTTCTTAGTTATTGGAATTTATTCCGTATACACCAGTCCATACTTTATATATTTATATATATATATATATATATATATATATATATATATATATATATATATGAAACATAATTTAATATTTAACGATTAAAGTCGAACAAAATAAATATAACCTCGCGCGTTTTCGACCGAAACTTCGTTAGAAGTCAATTGTCGGTATCAAAATTCAACTGAGGGGAAATTTTTTTTTAATAGGATCTTAAAATTGAGGAGAAGTCAAGAGAGGAAAATTTATTATTGTCATCCATATCGAGCCAGTGATTCCTTAAACAGTTCTAATTTATGTTTGAGGTCCTTCTGTCTACGCAGAGTCGGATGCTGTGTGTTAATCATAACAGCTTCTAAGATATTCAGGTGGAGTTTTTCCTCGGTCTGTGTGCAGAACAGTGATGAACTCTTCTGAGGACTGCCTCTTCTACTCCAACAGCTTCTTCTCTTGCACTTCTCAACAGTGCAACTCCCTTCCTCTTACTTGTTTCCCCGATAACTATAATCTTCAAAAATTTAAATGTAATGTCAATCGATATCTCCTGTTGCTTTGATGCCCGTTCTTTTTTATCCTTTATCTTGTGATGTCAACGAACACTCGTTGCCACTTTTGTGATGTCAACGAATACTCGTTGTCACTTTCGTAATGCTCGTTGTAGTAGAGACTTTGTAATCGCAGATACAACTATAATACGCTGTTGAAAAATACTGGTGTCAGACGCCTTCGAATAACACTCGCACTAATAGTACTTGATCGATAATACTCGCACTAATAGTACTTGATCGATAATACTCGCTCGAATAGTACTTGATCGATAATACTCGCTCGAATAGTAGCCACCGAATAGTAATCCGTGTAGTGATTTGATTCGTATAGCGAATAGAGCAGAGAATTGCGATCTGTATAGTAATAGAGGATAGACTAGAAATAGCGATCGTTTAGAATTCACGCTACTTCCTACGTTTCCCCTATGGTGACGTGATCTACTTAATTCAATAATGGGATCGCCTGTGCTTGCTCTCTGGCTATTCGTGTTCAAACTCCAGGGTCGGCAGTGACACTTTTTTTAAGTGGGAAAAATTTAAATCTGCATGGCACTTTACTCAAATTGGCTCATTCGCTTTCTTAAACTCAACGTTGATTCTGATTCCGCAGAACTGGGTTGGGTGTGAAAAAGTATTTGTTGTTAACATTCTTATTTCATTCGGTTTTTACAGTTACGAGTCCTTTTTTAAAGCTGATTTTTTTTGTTCATTTTGTTTAGTTCTTTTTTCGTAACAGATTTAATTTTTAGTATAGAACTTAGAAAAAATTCGCAATGTGAGATAGGCAAGAAGTAAGGCATGTAGCAACATCAGCACGGCAATGGACACTCCTTTAAAGGCAAGGAAGGGCAAAAATATTTTAAGTCAAGTGATAGCGATTGCTGTATGAGTTGTACGATTTTTGAATCAAGCCCGGGCAACGCCGGGTCATGCTGCTATTTTACGTATATATGAAACAAATTGAATCTAGGATTTCGACAAGCAATCTTGTCAATTCATGCCAGGCATAACCAAACATGGACACGATGTTTCTGAAAGGAGTATTCGGTTTGTGAATTTTATGTAGACTATAAATCCTAGGACGTTGAGAACCTGTAGGACAAATTCTGTTATAATCCTACTTAGAAAGAAACTTTTTCGTGAAATTCAAGAACCCTTCTTTGAAAATTAGTTTCCATTTTCGAGGTGCCATCAAACGAGATATATCCTAACTTCTGGAATTTTTTTATGCCATCTAATATAGAAGACATTTTGGCAACATAGAATAATTAAGAATAACTACACCTGAAACTTTATCAGGTCTAGTAATATAAATATCTGTCCTGGCTTTTAATAATCTGGCAGTCTGATAATGGTTCTTCTGCCAGAAGAACTCATTAAAATTGATCTACTTACCGATCGACTGATTGTTCCAACATTTCTTTTGACATTATATATCCTAAGACTTGCATTTACCATTCCAAATAAATCCACAGACACCATTTATAATCAGACATACAGGGAAGAAACAATATAAAACGTTTTCAGCGTAACTAAACGCGTATGTGCCTGTGAATAGATAGATAGATAGATAGATAGATAGATAGATAGATAGATAGATAGATATGAACGGAATGAGATAGATAGATAGATAGATAATTAGATAGATAGATAGATAGATAGATAGATAGATAGATAGATAGATAGATAGACAGACAGATAAATAGATCAGACACACACACACACACACACACACACACACACACACACACACACATATATATATATATATAGAGAGAGAGAGAGAGAGAGATGAACAGACTAAAGTATAGACATAGATAGATAGATAGATAGATAGATAGATAGATAGATAGATAGATAGATATGAACGCAATGAGATAGATAGATCAGACAGATAAATAGATCAGACACACACACACATATATATATATAGAGAGAGAGAGAGAAAGAGAGAGAGAGATGAACAGACTAACATATGAACAGAGATAGATAGATAGATAGATAGATAGATAGATAGATATGAACAGACTGAGATAGATAGATATATAGATATGAACGCAATGAGATAGATAGATAGATAGATAGATAGATAGATAGATAGATAGATAGATAGATAGATAGATATGAACGCAATGAGATAGATAGATCAGACAGATAAATAGATCAGACACACACACACACACACATATATATATAGAGAGAGAGAGAGAAAGAGAGAGATGAACAGACTAACATATGAACAGAGATAGATAGATAGATAGATAGATAGATAGATAGATAGATAGATAGATATGAACGCAATGAGATAGATAGATAGATAGATAGATAGATAGATAGATAGATAGATAGATAGATAGATCAGACACACACACACACACACACACATATATATATATATATATATATAGAGAGAGAGAGAGGGGGGAGAGATGAACAGACTAAAATATGAACAGAGATAGATATGAAGAGACTGAGATATGAATAGAGATAGATAGAAATGAGCAGACAGAGATGGTTATGAGCAGACTGAAATAGATAGATAGATAGATAGATAGATAGATAGATAGATAGATAGATAGATAGATAGACTTAGGCGGACATTAAGTTAACCTATATAGGTTCTTATCATTTTTTGTTTTTGTTTTTTTTGGGGGCTATTTTTTTTTTTGTTTTGTTTTGTTTTTTTCAATTGAGAATATAACATTTCAAATTTCAACCTTATCAATATTCTTAGACGGGGAGGGGATTCAAAAATCTAAACCCCTGGAGAAGACAAATTTACCAGTAAACATAAACAATTATTAGACAAATTAAGGATATGTTTATCTGATGTAATCCGTGAACCAAATTTTCTTTTAACTAAAAAAAATATAAACGTCTTAGATTTTTAGAATTGGTTCTGTTATTAGTGAAGATATCACCTTTCGACAAATATTTAGTAAAACGGAATTTGTCAAAGATGGATAAAATAGACCAGACATTACTCCAAATTGATTGGTACTGAAAGTTTACGGAATGCATTATTTCCGAATAGTAAAGGATT